GCTCTTAATAAATATTATATAAAGTATGAGGCAAGTATTAGTAATATATCTAAATTTAGGCATAGGAAACAAGGACCTCTTCATTTAGTCTATAATTAGACCTCAATTGTTTATTTTGCAGGTCCTTACAATAATAACTAAACATTTCTCTCTTTGTATTATATGTGTTTTCAAACTTCTGTGAAGGATCATTGATCAGCAGTCTTAGCATCTTTTATTGCTAATGCTCCACAAACAGGGAAAGCCAAAGAAAATGCTGGTGGTCCTGTGGGACACAAACCATGGCTACAGATGGTGTGCATTTAATGTTAACAAAGTTTGCTTCTTAACCTCTGGGTGTCGCTCTACAATGCCTTTATAAGGCTACTCATTTCCAAGGAAGGTTCAGTTTCCAAAAACAGGACAACAGGCCCCACGTGTGTTGTGCAGCCATTCAAATGCATATAATGTGTCTGAATGTCTTTAAGCAACTCCATTTAGCACATGCTTCCTAGCATTATCATATGTACTTGTGAAATGTTTCCCTGTAGATGGTAAGCCCCTTGAGGGCAAGTGCCAGGCCTGATATCTCATCCTATTATCTGTACTTCCCAGAGTAATGATAATATTTGTCATAGATGTAGCACTATGTAATCTATACATTGCTCTGATGGATAAGCTCCCCTCCACAACCATTGGTGATATTTGCCACATCTTCTAGATGGGGTTCTCAGAGGTATAAGCACTTAGCAAGAATCACAAACTAGTAGGCAATGTTTTCTTCTTGCCCACAACAGGAAAGTATTTATGCCTTGTCTTGCACTGCTATTTTCTTCTTCTGAAGTTTTTAATACAGCCCTGGCTGGTGTAGCTCAGGGGATTGAGTGCTGGCCTGTGAAGCAAAGGGTCACCAGTTCCATTCCCAGTCAGGACACATGCCTGGGTTGCAGGTCAGGTCCCCAGTAGAGGTTGCAAGAAACAACCACACATTGACATTTCTCTCCCTCTCTTTCTCCCTCCTTTCCCCTCTCTCTAAAAATAAATAAATAAATAAAATATTTTTTAAATAAAAAATAAAGTTTTAATACAAGGACTAATGCCTATTGGCCTTTTAATTAAAATAAGTATTAGATATGGTTTTTACATACTCAGGTTCAAGGCACCATTCTTAGGGCTTCACCAAACTTATAATCCTCCTAAGGTCCCCATGAAATAGCTATTATTACTCCCATTTTACAGATAAGGAAAGTGAGGCACAGAGAGATTGTTTGACCCCAAATCCCAGGACTGTTAAATGTCAGCAGTGACATTTGAATCCAGGAAGTCTGTCTCTAGATTTTGTGCCCTTAACTTATCCTGCACTGTTCTTCCTGAATAGGAATCTACAAAGATCCTTGCTCAGGATATGTAAACAGTTGTTCAACAAGGGGCGGGGGAGAGTACATTTACTCCTCCCTATGTGATTTATTTGATTATATACTAAAACCTTTCCTCCTGCCAGTAGAACTCCACGTAAGTACTATACTAAATTTTCCTGTACTGAAAGCATATGCAATGGTTACCTTGACTGACACATAAAATACCCAAAACAAAATACCCCAAGGCTTGAGGATTTTTTGTTTCATGAATTAGAGACATGAAAGGATTGCCAAGGCATCAGAAGTGTTATAGGCTCACATCTGTAAGTCTTTCTTGGAGATTTTCATATTTCTTATATAAGAATGTTTCCTGTCTGAACTATTTCAGTGTTCAACCTATATCTGAGCTTGGAAATTATCTAATCCTTTTTAATTTTTAATTTTCAACTACTTTTTCTTCACACATAGCACAAAGCACTTGCTTTCAATACGATGCTTAACACTTTGTATGCTTTTATTTCGGTCGTCTTCAAAACTTCCAAGTAAACATGCAAACACATTGAAAAGGTTTAAAATGTGGGGTATATATAAATATATCAACACAAGTTATGAATTATGTATATCCAAGCCTATATAAATTAGATTTTGAGGAACAAGCATCACAGTACTCAAGTAGGTCATATAAGAGATTCCATGTGAAATGTAAAAATTACCTTTGAATAAATTATCCATAAGTTAACACTCTCATTAGGATGACATATTTATTATTTCTGGGTTTGTGACATTCTTTTAATGCACTTTGACTAACTGTTTTAATGGCATATTAAGAAACCATTTCAGGCCCTTTTCCTCCATTGGAATTTGCAGACTTTATTTACATTTGAACTAAAATAATATAACACAAAACAAACACCCATTACCCAAAGTAGAATATCATTTTATTCTGCCCAGAAACATTTAATTAAAGCAGGATATAACTTCAGTAATTATTTTTGCACAGAATGACTCTAAAATTAATAGTCAATTGTTAGGAGTGTTTAAAAATTGGGAGACTGACAATCAAAACAATCTTAAACGCTTTGTTTATGTGATGAAAAGGAGTGATCCTTTAATTCCCTCACACACATTAAACTGATTTCACAGACTTTCTGTACTGGTGTTTAACATTGTCAAGTACTTGAGGTTACATAAAATAAACAATCTTGAGATCTTATTGCAAATGTTTGCAATTTATGATGTAAACTGATTTGTGAAAAAAAAAATAACAGGATCCCATGTCACTGAAGCCAAAAAAGGCATTTTTCAGAAATCAAAATAGTTTCGAAATTTGAGCATCGTATTATACTAAAGTATTACCATCTGAGGATCTAAAAAGTTATAAATCTAAGGAAAAACTCAAAAAATATATTTTTATCAGTCCAGCTTCAAGCAGAGGCCTCTGATCTTACTGGGCCTCTTGCATCTTAGGGTCCTTAACACTACTAATGTCTTAAATAATCTCTTTCAGCGCAGTTTTCCCCAATCAGGGATTCTGTAGCTCGGGAAGGTTTTGCACACCCTGAAAGATTTTGGGTGGGGGACGAGTTTTCATTAATTATTTCTTACAATTATTGAGTTTCGACCCAAACGACAAGCATGTTGGGCCTTATTTAAAATTCAAGTTATGACTTCCTCGGACCCCTTCTCAGATGGCTCTGGAAACTCGGGGTTTGGAACACCCAGGCGCCTGTCGCAGAGTTTGGGCCGTGACACCCCAGGAAACGCAGCCTGCCTGCCCGCGTGTGGGAGACTGAACCCGAGGGGCCCGGCCCGGCCAGGCCGGGAAAGGCAGCCTCCACCCCCGCTGAGCCTCCGCGGAGCTGCCGCGGAAGGAGGCGAAGCCGCCACGAGCGCCCCTGACGCTCGGGTCCCACAGGCCGCGCGGTGCTCAAGTTCCGTGGACGGACCGGGCCGAGAAACTTTGGCCTTTGTCCCCCGCCTCGGCCGGCGCCCGCAGGTTCCGTGGCCGTCCGCGCTCCCGCAGAAGCCGGATCTCGGGTCGCCCGCCGCCCGGAACGTGCCCGGCCGGCCCAGGCCGCGCTGCCGCACCCCCTTCTTCGTGCCCGGACGCGCTGCCTCCTGTGACCTTAGGCTTCCCCGGAGCTCGACGCAGCGCAGGCCGGGCCCAGCGTCCGCTGCGCCCAAGGCCGGTTCGGAACGGAACCCTCAACGCCCAGCCCCCAGCCCTCCCGTGACCTCCGACCTCCCTCCGAGCGCCGGGGAAACCTGCGATCCCGCCTCGGGGGCTGGCTTAGCGTCGGACCCGGGGCCCGCGGGTTCGGACCCCGGCCGGGGTGCGGGTGGGAGCTCGCCGGCGGCCACGGTGCCCGGGCTGGCGGACCCGCGCGGCCGCTTCAAAGCGCACCCCGCCCCCAGGCAGATGTTTATTCTGAAAACTACAGACGCTCGTCTGCCGGGAGACCCGCAAGGCCTGAGCGCTGGATGCCTACCGAGGCCCGGTCAATGATCTTTGCAAGCAAACACATAAATTATCACCCACATCTACGGCGAGGAACAGCTTTAAGGGTGACCTGAATCCGGGAGAGGGCCGGGTGGGGGCTGCGGGAGCGCGGCCTGAGGACGCCGGGTTCTGTCTGGGGTTGAGGGGGCCTCGTCTACGCGTCCTGCAGCCCAGAGAGGGTCCCAGGGGACACTCGGGACACCTCAGTCTTCGCGGACGGTGTCTGCCACGCCAAGGCCCGCGGGGAAGGCAGGCTCAGGTCCCGAGCTTGGCCTGGGCCGTCGTCCCAGACTTATCCCCCAAAGCGGGGCTCCTTCTGGGGCAGGGGGACGGAGGGACGGGCCCTGTGGTGTTCGGAGAGTGGCTTAAACCCGACTTTTCCTGATCACGGTCCCGGCCTTGGCTTCCACCATTTCCTAAATTTAACCAAATGAAGACGCTGCTTCGGTCCAAGAGCTAAACTGTAGTAGGAGGTGGGGGACCCGCGGCTCTGGCTCCGCGGCCACAGCCTCGTCTCCTGCCAGACTCCGGGGAGGTCGGCGACCCGGACACTGGCTACTGCGCCCCAGTGAACCCAGGTGAACTCCGCGCCGCGCGATCCTGCCTCGCTACGGACCCAAAGTATCCGCTAAATAAACTTCTAGGGTCAACGTGCAGCAAAATGAAGAACGAGAGTTCATCTTGGGGAAGGGGATTATTCTATCCTATTTTACATACTATCTGTTCCTTTATTGATTTGGTGTGAAAATCAATCCGTTTTCTACTCTGGATGGATAAAATGGGGGAGAGGGGAGTTCCGTTCGGTGCTATATAAAGCCACAGAGGCACTATTCTCATGGCCCCTTAATTGCAGCAGGTAGGAGCAAGAGCAAACGCTTTTCCAAATTGGTATAATCGACAGATACACAGTCATCAAAAAGGAAGAAGGAAAGACTATCCCGGATGGTTTAATAGTAACAGGAACAAAGATGACGCGAACCCCATCAAATGAAACAATACTATTTTCATTCAATTGATCGCAAAGTGTCTTCAATGAATAACTTGGCACTTATTTAAAAGGTTTAACAGAGGTGAAACCGAAACATTTTGTACCGACAACACGTCATGAAATAACAGCATCTTTTGTTTAAAATAACTTAATACACTAGAAAAAATATGGCAAATATAAATAATTTGTTTTCATGGAGAACAAATAGTTACAAAGCTCAACCGCATAACCAAGTTCAGTTAAAAGAGCTTTTCCTCTTTCTTGTAAATTAGAAGAAAAAAAAAACTAAAGAGGCTTTCTAGAGAATTGGGATACAGATTGCTTAGTCCAGAGTACCCCATTTTAAACAGCTACATGAATTGAAGCAAACAAAAAAATTACTTTAATATACACCTTTGTGAGATAAAATGCAAATGTTGAAAGTCAACCATTAGTTCACACATTATAGCCAAAATAAACTTTGTTCGTGTGTATCAACATATTTTACACAAACCTAGTGCCTGTGTCTAGCTGGGTGTTCTTTAAGGTGAGTGTGACAGGATAGAGAGGGGGAAGTAAAGCACGGTCCTCAAATAGGACTTCAGGTAACCAGCGAGAGGGTGGACAAGAAAAGGGGGAGGGAGGGGACCATTACTGAGCGACTGCTATGTGTCAGGCACCTTGTGAGGCGTTGTACCTTCGTTATTTCATTTAGTCTTCTTGTTTTATTTTTCCTTTCCCCACATTTTCTGCCCGCCTCCGTTTTCTTGGGACAACCGAAGTGTCAAGTTTTTCCCTTCCGACTTTTTTCTTTTGTCCCCCAGGATCAAAGACGGGGCAAAAATATATATGTAGATAGATAGACATCAATTTTTAGACGCTTTGGGTATTGGTTTTCATACCGAAGATGAAAATGAAGTAAGTACAGGTGCGTAAAGCAGGGGAAGGGGGGAGACACCATCAATGGAATACAAGTAACATGCAAACTGGAATTTACTGCCAGCAGTCTGGACAGTTCTGCCATAATAATTTCTCAGAGAAATCAGTCTGTGGTATCATTTTTGTATTATCATTTTTTTCTCCTTGTTTTTATACTCTCTTCCCTCTTCTTGCTCTTCCATTCGTGGTGGTTTTAAACTCAAAGCATCTGATTCAACGTAAAAGGAGGCCCGCCTCTCTTATCAAATTTCTCGTATTAAAGTGAACTTCGCAGAAAAAGGTCAGTTTCAAAACCTGTGAATTTCCCAGCTCCGCACTTTTTTTTTTAATCTTAACTCTTTAAATAAGTATACCTCTTCCTTCTGTTTTGCTTTCTTAGCCCATTTTGGGGGAGGGGGACATACACTTTAAGTTGGTAACTCCCCAACCCCTCTTCTCTCGAAATGCATCCAGGTTATTTTTCCATATTTTTTAATGTATAAAATACTTTAATTTTTAAATTTTTTTGTTCCTTGGTTCTCTCTCCGATTTCAGCCTCTTTCAAATAGCAGTAAGAAATAAGTTCCCTTTCTCTTTTTCTGTTTGTCCTTTCTGCTTTTTCCCCCTCTTAATTTATTAACAGGATTTTAATTTCTGCGCAAGAGTCCATCGCTGCGGCTTTGCCACTAGCCACACTCCGCCGTTCCCGTACTCCCTTGTACAGTCTCTCTCCGGAACTTCCCCAAACCGGCTCTACAAAGCTGAATCCCAGGCCCTTCAGAAGGTGAATGGTCAGGAGCACCAAGTCGGTGCGCCTTGTGGCATCGCAGGTCTTGCGCAGAGTCCTGCCCTCCGCGTTCCAGTGGAGTCCGAGATGCTGAAGCGGGCAAGGGGCGATCAGCCAAGCGGAAAGAGGCTGGGCTCCCAGGTGCAGAGGGGGTGACGAAGAAGCAGCGGGGCGCAGAGGTCGCGCATTCTGCACGCGCGCTGGAGGCGCAACGTGGGCGCTGGTGTCACAGACCCAGGGCGGCCGCGTGCTTTTTGGCTTTCAGTCTGAGATCCGCAATGCTGGAGTTCTTGCTGGTAGTCTTGGCAGCGGCAGCGGCAGCCACCACCGAGGCGGCGGAGGCCGAGTCCGCGGCCAGCGTGGCCAGCGGCAGTCCGAAGGGCGGCGCCGGGAACATCATGTAGGGCGCGTGCGCGGCCAGGTGCGGGTGCAGGTGGTGGTGCGCGTGCGCTACGGCGCTGTCCAGCTGCAGCTGCGCCTGAACCTGAAAGGACAAGGGCGTCACGTTGCAATGACTATCCTAGGGTGACAACAGAATAGAAACAAAGCATTAACGGAGTCCAGCTTGGCTCAGGGGAAGGCTGGGGTGGGGACGGGAAAAGGGGTATTTGGCTGACCTCAATCTCTTACTGAATCTGGGGCACTACAGGGATACTCCAGAGTCCCTGAGTCTCCTCAACTCACACAGCGCGGCTTATCTCTACGGACCCAGGGGACAGCAACTGCAGGAATGTGGATGGCCCTTCCAGGGCTGGGCCCATCAGAGGGCGATATTGCTACTGTGCTAAAACATCACCTTCCCCAGTAATACTGGTGTATTGGCAAAATGGGGTGAGGCCCTGTTACCCTCCTCCTTGATGCTGTCATACACATCTCACCTCACTGCTAAAGCCCTGAAGTGCCAAAGAGCAAACCAAAAAACTCTGCATGTCAGTTAGGGAAGTTACTGCATCTTCATTACAATAAACACAATTGTTAGTACTTCTAACCCCTACTGCTATAAGAGTTATCTGGGGATCTTGTTTAAATGCAGATTCCAATCCAAAAGGTCTAGGTTGGGGCCTGAGATTCTGAATTTCTGCCAATCTTCCAGGTGTTGCTGATGATGCATACCTGCAGATCACCTTCTAGGAAGTAAGGATCTCCTTTTAAGATTCCCCTCCCCTCTCTTTCTCCAATCATTCTTTCCGGCTTCAAAAGCCTAGCGTCAAGATACCAGAGTCCTGTGGTGCCAAGAAAGCTAAGATCCCCCCAACACTAACCCTCAGTACTTTAGCGCACCCATGTGTGTCTCCTCAGTCCAGGCACTGGTAACCGAAAGCTAATTCATGACTTCACAGTCCTACCATGCAGGGGTCCTGGCTGAGGATGAGGCAGGTCAGACACTGGTTGGGAAGGGATCGTGCCCTTAGGCTTGGAGAGCAGGGAGTTCTGAGCACTGGGATTTCCCAGGATTAAATCATTGCTGCAGGCTGTCCTTTTAAATGTAGTCTTAAAGGTTTCTTTATGGCTAAGAAAGGCATTGCAGAGGCAGGGCATCCCTGGGAAGACCAAGGCAAGGCTTCCTTCTCAACTAGCCATGAAGCTTTGTTTGCAGACAGCTTTAAAAAATCAAGTCTGAGTTGGGAGTACTTTTATTTATTTCTTTTTCTTCTGTCAGACACAGTTAATGAAACTAAGAGGCAGAAAATACCTAGAAAAATATTTAGAGAATTGCCTTAGAAACACCTTAGGACTAACCTCTGAATTTGATCTGACAAAATCTTAATCAAAAGGCTTTTGCCTTCCTCTCCCCAAGCTCAATCTTTAGTGCATTTTTAAAGGACTGGTTACTGCCCTCGGGCCTCTGTGGGTTTCCCATGAGGACAGAAAGGACTAGACATATGGGCCCCTGACACGCGATAGGTTTTTAAAGGGGAGCAGGTCCACTATATCATCTCAAAATTGATTCTCCAACTGTATGGACACCAATATTGGGGCTTAGAGGGGATGTTCAACAATTCGAGGAAACCTCCAGGTCTTTTTACGTTTAAGAACCAGCTGAAGCTGGGCTGTACTTGCCTGCTGAAATGGCATCCTTAAAGCACCTACGTTGACATAGGGTGCAACTCTACAAGCTTCAAACTGGCTGGCTGCCCCTATAAGGACTCCTATAAAAAATGGGGGAAATAAACACAATGATGCGAGATTAATATTTTTGGCATTGCTTTCCAGGGTTCCGAATGTACCAAGACAGAACTAATTCCTTAGGAAATGAACTGTTAACTTTCTAAACTACTGCCATAATGAAAATATATGTAATTTACTCCCAAACTTTAGGACTCTCACTAACTGCCTTTGGAGCAAATTTTTAAGTAAGGACCATGGTTGTCTTTGAGAAGATTTTTCTGCATTTATAATAACAATATTCCCCATTCTCATTTTACTTAGAATACCAAATGGTCTTTGTCTGAGAAGCATACCTTTATGGAGTTGATTTTCTTGTTTTCTACATTTAGCTCTTCGATTTTGGAACCAAACCTAAAAATTGGAGGGAAAATATAAAACCTAGATGTTATGACTCAACATTTTAAAAAAATTACAAGAGTATGATGAAAAAAGAAGTGTTTTAGGCATGAATGAGATGTGGCAAGCAACCTTTGAATTCATAGAACAATCTCAATTTCCAATGTTAAAAATGTAAATGAGTGACAAAAATAAATTTCATAGACTTTAGCAAGATAAATGGTTTCTTGATACACTGGTTTTAGTTCTGGTTTCATCTTTCCACATTACAGAGTTCCCAAGGCCTAAAACTCTCGCTGATACCTGATACCAAAGTGATAATGAGTTTAGATGTTTGCCCAGTAAGACCTGAGACGAATGTGCTCATTAATAGCCTGTTATATTAATTAGCTTCATCTTCAAGAAAAACCAAACACCAAAGCAAATAGTGACTCTTTTTTTCCTGGGGGCTGGGGGAGGGGGATAAAAGTGAGGGAAGCGGTAATTAGTGTCATAAAAGCCTCACTACAAAGAAGTTTAGGATTTCTCTGTTCCTCTGTGCAATAGAGTGTAACACGGTAGCAGAATAATTGTGCTATTATCATGATAATCTAATTTGCTTCTATAGAAATAGCCTATTCTTGCAGTTAGGATAGCATAGAAGCATCCAGAAAACAGCTCAAAAATTTTTAAGTATGAAAAAATAAAGACCAGCAATAAAATTCACTTCTTATGATAAAAAATAAGAATATTCTATGAAAGGGGAATGGGGTGAGGTATGAAACAAGTAATTCCTGAATACTATTTTCTCCCGATATTACTCTCTTAAATAAACTTGCCAACTTTTAGAGGTAATATGACAGGTTTTTAAAAATTCAAGTGCAGCTTGTTTTTTTTTTTCACTAATACAGCATATTGACTGATAGACAAATTAATGTTTAAAAACCATGAAAGTAAAATATTGCTTCTGAGCTTTGTCTTGTTTTGAAAAGGAAGTGTCATAGTCAATGTAAATCTTCAAAAATTCCCCTGCCATTTAGTGTAATAGAAGGGTAGATTTCATGCCAGGGTGGCATCCTTTGTGTAACTCACATGGCCTGAGGCTTCTTGCCTCTTTTTTTCCCTACTAGAGTTGGAACTGAGATACTAATACTCATAACTGTAATAATTATCATCATGTCTTTAAGGGGTTGCTGAGCCTCTAGAGATCTCAATACACAAAGCAAAGCAGGAGAGGCTTAAAAAGGAAGGCTCCGCGTGTTGATGCTGTGATGACCAAGGCAGCCTATTATTACTTTTCCCCTTCAACTCCACTGCTCTGTTTTTGTCCTGATCCTATTACAAGATGCAGGGAAGCCCCATAAGAATTGCATAGTTCGCTGCAGATGGTGGTCTCTGCGCCCAGAGACCCAGGGAGTATCTGTTACAGTGATACTTTGTAACAGCTGCAGATGTTCAGGCCTAAAACTGCTCCATGTGTTCAAACAAATAATGACCATCATTTTCTCCTATTTTATTATTTGAGAGGAAATACAATCTGAAACATTCAAATTTGTTCTCTATAAACCTAGAATAAGTATGTATGTATGCATATAATTTTTCACCTTAACCACTGCCAAAGCCTACTTTTGCCATTACATTCACCATCATGACCAATAAAAAACAAACAATAAAAAAACAACAACACTCTTCCTATCCCAACTTCATCGGGTGTGGTACTTGCTGGGGGTCGCGAACATTGAAAATACCAACATTAATCTGTGGGTTGTTTTAAAATCAAGTTTCTGTAGTTCAGGTTCACTGCCTTGGTTAAATGAGTGAACAAAGAACGACCAAAATGCATTTATTTCTCTGCTGTGTCACACAGTTTGAGATCGACTGCTAACGGCAGACTGTAAATTTCTGCATTTAACAGTTGCTAATTTTCTTTATAGTCTGTACATCTATAAACGTAATTGGCATATCCGCTTGGCAAACCTAAACCCTGAAGTAGACCCTCAAGGAAACCCAACTCCAGCGAACAAAATATTCGTTGTAACTTTTAAGGCATCCAGAAGATAAAACGTTTTCTGTGGGATTTTTTTTTAAGGCTTATAAAAGTAGGCCCATTAGGATTAAACCACATTAAAGGCATCGTGAGGCGAGGGGGGTGTGGTTTATAGAAACTCTGGGAGCAAGCCCAGCACAGCTTTCTTCTGCTGGGAACATATGTTGGGATGGGGGAAAAAGGGAGGGGGTCAGTTTAAGACTAAGATCTACTTTGGAAAATAAGACCTCTACTAAAGGCATCCTTTCCTTTCTCACCTGACTCCAGACCCTTGAACCTGCAGGCTCCGTGTGTGTCCCAAGAGCCGCCTCTCCAACCCCACCTTAGGTGACCCCCCTCCTCCCTCCTTGGACCCTGTACCTCCTCACAGCCAGGTACCTGCACTCGGGCCTCTGACAGCCCCAGTCGTTGGCTCAGTTCTTCACGCATGAAGGCGTCCGGGTAGTGAGTCTCATCAAAAAGCCTCTCCAGCTCATTGAGTTGTTCCAGGGTGAAATTGGTTCGACTTCGTCTCTGCTTGATTTTGGTCTGGCCTTCGTCCTCCATCCCTTTCGCATCCTCTTTGCGATCCTTCAGCTCCGGGGACACTGGAGGTGGCACCATAAAGAGGTCACCCGTACGTCCACGAGTGCACACGATCACAGACACAGATAAAAACAACACAAGTCCTTTTAACCAGATTTGTCTCAAGAAGGTTGGAGGACCCTGCTCCCTCCCGAAGTTCCTGTCCAGTCCCTCACTAGGTCAGGAAGAAGAGGAGCCTGGAGACAACCAAAGATCAACTCTGGGTGGCTGCCTAAGGGCAAAATGGGCATTCACCCACCTATCCCCTATGCAACTGTGGCCTCAGCTCACCTCACTATCCACCCCACGGTTTCCGGCCCTCCCCTGTGAACACCAAATCCAATTCACTCACCCTCTCGCCCACTCACTCTCTCCCACGCACGCACAGAAATCAAAAGCGCTGAGCCCCGCCCGTCACTGTATGCTGTCCGAGAAGGGAGAAGGGCGCGGTGAGGCCACGCTCTGCGCCATTCAGAGAGTGCTGGGCAATTCTCAGGCCAGCTCTGTTCGCTGATGGCTCTCTGTCTCTCTCAAACTTGCTGGTCTAATTTGATAACATTTGAGCCAAAGGGTCGCAGCAGGAAAATAAGACCTTTGTGCTTCGCGTTCCTAGGAGTCGCATCCCCAGGCATTGGGTGCTGACTCAGGGAGCTGGCCAAACCTCGCGGACAGCCCAGGGGCCGCCAGGCAGTCCCTGTCCCCCTGCCGGACCCGGTCGCTGAGCACAGGCGTCCACGCCATGTTGGCAGCAGGGAGGGTTCTCAGCCCACGCTGGGCCAGAGGGTGAGAGGCAGAAAAGCAGCCTCTGGTGGCCCAAGGAACTGACCGCTGCCTCTGTCCTCTCCTTGTCTCTCCCCATTGAAAAAGCCGACTGGACCCTAAACGCTTAAACCCACAGAGATCAACAGGTTCAACAGGAACATTCACGATCCTCGGTTTCTATTGGTTGCTCAAAGCCTTTTCATGCATCCACCAGCTCGGATGTTTAATAAAATATGCATTTTTTCTGCTCTGGGTTTGCACACATCCGTTGCTACTTTCCTGTCCTTCCTCTACTCTCTTTTAAAAACAGAAGCTCTGCAAATGTGAGCATACAGAGACACCAGAGGGACGGATATATATATATACACATGCCAAGAAGCAGTGATATGGGGAGCTGTATCAACATAAGCTGCCCTCTGGAACCTTCATTCTTTGCGCCTGCCTGAGTCGGAGATTTGGCTTTTTAAAGTGTCAAAGCTGAGTTTGGGTAGTCGAGGCTGTTTGCAGTTTTTTCCCAGGCAGTTCCTGATCAGAATGGGTGTTAAAAATAATTTCTGGAAGAGCCGGCCTGCAGAAGATTTAATACTTGCCCTGAGCTTGGAAATTAACAATCTTAGGACTTCGTGTACCCTGGGTTCAGACCCTAACTCTGCGGCCTCACTTGCTGGTGTACTCAGGGCCCGGAGCTGTGGCTTCACTGAGGCTTCAAGAGGTTGCATTGAGCCCCCAGACTGCTGTACCAACACTTTCCAAATTTAGGGGGATCTGGTACCAGGTCTCACTCAGGGAAGAAGAGCCTTTAGATCTCAGCTCAGCCTGACATTCTTACAATGGTGAGCTCAAGTGATGCTAACATTTCTATTTCTCAGAGTTCGTTTTTTGTGGACATGTGTCCTTCCTCCGGGAAGGAAGTGATTAACATTATACCAAACATTCGTAGACAAGCTAGTAAGAAAATATTTTCCACTAATAGTGCAATGAAATTTAAATATGAAAACACGCACTTCAGATTCTGCCAAAGGGGTGAGAAAGCTCTATTTTGTGTCATCCACAATGGATACCTCTCAAACTTTTGGGACTTCAAAGAGAAAGATGTCCACATTTCCAGTTGGTTCATAGACTTAATATAACCTTTATTTTGCCCCCAAATTTCCACTTATTGGCCTAAACAGGAACAGACCGTGTTATAAACAACTTAATTGCTTGCTTAAATATGTGATTCTACGCATGTCACATATTTCCTTAATTGGAAAAATATGGCAGCACACCATTTACTGCGGGGACCAAGTGCCAAATTAATTTTATTGTTGAACTCCTTTGAATTGGTACAGTACGCTCCACCATTTAGATAAAGCCATTTCCTAACACTTTGCTGGAACCAAAGTATTCCGACACCCACCTCCCTCCGCCGCCCTGCACAAAACCAGAGTACTGAATGATGTGAAGCAGTGAGGGAATTGTGTAAGTACTAAAAAAACAAACCCCCCCAAAAACGAGAAGCCTAACACGTCTCCCAAAATAAATAACATACGCTAGACCTTTGCCTGCTTTGGCCTCGTTCTACCTTCACAGCTCAAAGAGAATGGGGAGTTTGGCCCCTAAGATCCAGGGATCCAGGGTCTTCCGCGGAGTTCTAGTCGTTCTTAGAGGCGGTCCGAAACCCAGAGGCGACCCGAGGGTGGCATTTTCTCTGTGTCTCTTTCTCAGGCCTAGAAAAGGGGTTTCCCGCAAACTCCGCGCTAGATGCTAATCGTAACCCCGCCGCCTGGCCCAGCAGCGGCCAGTATCCCCACCCGCCCCCGGGCCAGCGAACTTCCCCAGCCGCCCGCGGGCCGTCTGGGCTGAGGCCCCATCCTCTCCCGGGTGAAAAATGCTTTTCGGTGGAATGGGAATAGCCGGAGCGTCTGGGAAGGGCGCGCACAAACCCACACACCCCCTCCCCACAGACACTCGGACCCCACCCAGGACCACGCACACCACCGGACGCCCACCCCTCCATCACCACTCCAGCTCCCAAACTGGGATCCAAGGGGCCCTCTCCGCGCCCCGCCACCCACCCCGCGGGGCCTCGGGGTCCTCTCCCGCCTAAAAGGAGTCGGGAAGGCGGGAAGGGGAACCGCGGCTGGGGGTCAGGCCGTTACCCTCGGTGAGCCTCGGGCTGCCCGGCTCCCTGCTCCTTTCGGCGGCGCCCATGTCCAGCTCCCGGACGGGAGAGCGCCCTCCTCCAGCTCCTCCGCCCGCTCCTCCTCCTCCTGCACCTCCTCCGCCTCCTCCGCCTCCGCCTCCTCCTGCGCCGCCGCCTCCGCCGGCCGCCCGGACTGCCGGGCTGCTGCGGTCGTCGCGGCCCGGCTCCGCGCCTCCGGCCGGATCCTTGGCCCCGCGCAGCGGCCCGCTCTCAAGCACCTCCCGGTAGGTGATCGCTTCTTTCTTCTCCTTCACTTTCTGGTCAAAAGACTTGGAGACGAACGCCGTAAGTTCTTCCATCGCCGCCGATGCCCGTCAGCCCCGCGCTCAACCTCTCACAGCCGAGCCCCGCTCTTTTTTTCCTTCTTCTTTTTTTACTGCTCCAGCCCCCCCAATAATAACACATCAATGGGGCAGGGGGTGGGGGTGGAGAGGGAGGAGGAGGAAGAAAGAAGAAAAAGAAGAGAAGGAAGAAGAAAGAGAAGTAGAAGGAGAAAAAGAAGTAAGAAGAGGAGGAGGAGGAGGAGGAGGAGGAAGAGTGGGGGGGAGGGGGAGGAGGAAGAGGGAAGGGGCGGGGGCCGGCGGAGGGAAATAGGAACGGCTGCTTCCCCGCCGGAGCGCGCTTGTCCACTGTTAAGATCTTTGACAATTCTTCCTGCCGGGAGTTCAGATCTGATAGCAACGCTGCGCTTGAAGTCTCACTATTTATACTTCGCCAAGGCCGCCCCTTGTTCTGAGTAAATTACCTCCCTTCGTAACTCGGAGGGAGCCCCTTCCCGGGAAGCACCCGCGACGCTACCTGGGGGCGGGGGTGGAGAAGTGGAGGTTACGGGAGAGAGCGAGGAGAGAGGAGAGGGAGGGGGTAGAGAGAGGGAGGGAGGGGGGAGGGGGGAGAGAGAAAGAGAGAGAGAAAGGAGAGAGAAAGAAAGAGAAAGAAAGAAAGAGGGAGAGAGATGGAGATTGATTAAGCCACAGTCGAAGCAGGCTGGGTCTGGAGTGGGAGGGCTGCGAAGGGGGCCGAGAGGGGGCGGGAAGAGGAGGCAGGTCCCAGACCATCAGGGTTTTCAGATAGCCGCGGCCGCCTGCGCACTTGGCCATTAATCCTAGATTGACAAGAATCCCTAATTAATTTAATTAGGCGTGGATTTTGCGTTGGTGTCAAGACTTAGTTAAACACCGGGGAGCTGGACCTACTCCGCCGGGGCGTGGCCAAAAGGAAACTGACAAGTGCGAGGCTGCGGGAGAGAGTCCGGTATCCAGACTCCGCGGCAGATCCCACGTCTTCTGCCCGCGTCAGGGGGCCGCGGAGCTGCTCGGGGCCGCTTTGCTGCCCGGCGTCCCTAGCCTGCGGCAGGCGCCCAGCAGCCCGGTTGGTTCTGCATCCTGACCCGGTATTGCAATTCTCATTCCCGCTGCCAGTCTCACGCCACCTACACCTCGCAGCCCGGCATCCTGGCTTCACGACCTGCCCAGAGTCAGGGTCTTCTGTAGCTCCTTTTAGAAGCTTCCCGGCCCGCAGCCGGAGCTGAGCCTGGGTCTTCACCAACCTCTTCTCGCTGGGGGTTTGTGATTCGCCCTATGACTTGCGTCCTGGAGCCCAAGCTGACTCCTCTGCGGATAGCCCCGCTTGTAGGGCCGGTCGATTTAACACATTTCCCAAGCAGCTGTTCCCTGACAGATGCCATTTTAAAAAGTGTTTCCTTAGCGCCCGATCAAGGACAGTTAGACTTCGTTCCCTCTCTGAGGTCTCAGGACACTCATCCCACCTTCCTTGTAACTCCCTGTATCCGGACCTCTCCCAAAATGAACTACAGGAGCACTTTTTTAACCTCCCGGGAAACATTCTATAGTTGATTTCCTGTTTTTGAAGCAAGTGATTATTCCTTTTTGAGTTTGAAAAAAATCGAGATTAAGTATGTGCCTCTCATAATTTTATTTATTGTGTACTATTCAAAAAGAGATGCTCTTGGGGAGAAAAGACTCTCATTCTCTGCCTGGACTATTTTAATCGAAAGTTATGTAGAATGAATGTCTATATTCCCGAGTCATCTCTCTGTATTGTGCAGCTTGCTGTGAGAAGTGTGGCCACATATGTATTTCACATGAATATTTACATATGGAAAGTTGTATTATTGAGTGTGTAAACAAATATATCTCTTCAAATGTAACTTTGGGGACATTTTCAAGTCATCTAAATGTTAAACGGGCTACCTGTTCACTAAAAGTAACTTGTTCATTTTCTTGGATATACTACTCAGTAAAAATAAAAGCAATTACATAACTTCGATATGTATATTTTTCACCCATTGTTTAAGGCATCAGCACGAAGTTAAATAATTTGAGAAGTTCCATCAGAACAACCTGAAACACTTGTAAAAGAACACAATTAAAACTTAATATACTAGTGTTTCTACACTATATTTAAGTAGAGGCTATTCATAACTGTTATACTACACTACTCTTTAGATTAAAATGTTCACATTTGGCAAACTTAATATGGAAATCACACTTTTAAGAAATATTACTTTGCCTTTTTCTCTTTATTTCTGAAGTTATCTTTTGTTCTTAAAATATTTCACTTATTGTTACTTTTAGGAGAAATAATTAAAATGTTTACATTTCCAGTGCAATAGCTTTTAGGTATAATGAATTAGGTGAGTGCTTTATTTTAATTACCCTACAAAAGAGACCTCAAAGCTCACACTTTCCGAAGTTATATAAATTTAGGAACATGATTTTACTCTATCTGAGGTTACTATTTGTAACCGTTTTAATTTTGATTTTCCCAGAGGGGACTAAACATAAAACTTTAATCCTTTATGGAGATCTGTTTTTAAGGTTACTTAGCAGAATGACCAGAAAGAGCTATCAAACTGAGGTGTTAAATACTCTTCACAAATAGCTCCAAAATAACACTTCAGAAGCCCAGTAAAGAATCAAGAGACTCACCAGCTACTTTTTTTGCCATGACTTCTAAGTCCGATATAAAATTCCACCCACTGGGCTTGAGGGAAAGATGAGCACTTTAAAGGTAATCAGGGAAGGCTTAGACAATTGTAGTGATTCACACCAGATAAAATTTCCTGGCACATTGGATCTTTGTATATTTAGGAAGAGTGGTGTTGATATTAAATGGAGTTATGAGAGATTTGCTGCGTCTGACCATGGATTCCACTGACCTAAAGGAAATGTAGTTTAACAACAACAACAACAAAGTTTTGAAATCATATGCTAATAAATGCTCATGAAGTTCTAATCATGTTGTTTCGTTAAATAGTAAATGTTTTCCAGAAATAGGCTATTTCAAAGTACGAAAGTACGGTTTTGGTTTAAAAAAAAAAGATAGTAAAGCTCAGTTGTGAGCCTGCAGACAGATATACAAGTTCCAATAAAAATTCAGGACCCCAAGGGTACCCCCAGCTCTTGAATTATTTAAAATAAACATGTAGTGTTGTAGTTAAGTTTCAAAATGGTCCCTCAAAACTGATTATTCAAGGTACAGTCATTTATGACAAATATACTTTTAGAGCTGATTTTCACCATCTCAAATATCTGCAGAAAATTTTAGTTTGGGTATCTAGCAGTTGTGAATGAATTGGATCTCACAGTCAACCCAAAACAAGGTCAACAGCTTTTTTCCCACCTCAATATCTTTGCGTAGTTATAGTAAATAAGGAAAGAATTATGTTTATGCAAGAACAAATAAATAATGTAGTATGAGTTACAGAAAATGCTGAATCGCTTTAATTCCTATTGGTGTAAATAACAACAAAAACCTAATAATTTCTCTTTCAGAGGAAATGTCTCCCTGCCTCGGGCAGCCGTCTCCCACTCCTCTACTAACCAGTTACTTTAATGTGAGAAATTAATTTGCACCCAACCTGTGAGTGCCTTCACCTTGAGGGCAGAAGAAACACCAACTTTTAATGCATTTTTGCAAATAAATCATTACATTTTAATCACATAAGACTCTGTACAGACACACTCCCATGATTTATTATTGTTGGGCGAGTTTCCTCCTTCCTCAGCTTGAGATAACCAATTTTGCTACGTGGGGGTGTTTTAAACATAACTTCCTACGATGCAGACTTGTTTACTGATTATCTGTGATGATAACGACGATTACTAAGGCAATAACACTCCTCAGTCCCCACCTTTATTGCTTTTTGGTTATAAGGAAATCAAATAAGCAAGCAAGCAAAACCAACACCAAACAAAAAATTGGCGGCGTGACAATCTATTCCCTCGGCACTCCTAACGCCTGACAGCCTCCATCGATGCATTCGAAAGCTCGGCTGAAGCTGCCTGGCGCTGGAACCAGGAAGGCGCTGAGCTTAAACTGAGGCAAGTTCTGAGGACGCCGGCAGCACCTCAATTTGAAGCAACGTTTGCAGGTTTGTGGCGCTTGCAGGTCGAGGGGAGGTGTGACCCCGAAGGCAGGGGGCCAGGCGATGCCCCCATCGGGGTCTGGGTGGAGGCGCCCGCGACTGCGGTGCTCCGAGGCCCTGCTCTGGCGTGAGGTGGCGCGGGGCCTGGCTCGGGGAGAGTAGTCCTCGGCCGGGGAGTGGGCGGTGGTCCCAAGGCTTGCGGGGCGGCTCAGTGCGCATGCGTCACGCGCCCGGAGTTTTCTGACACTGGAGGTCGGAGCTGGGCCCTTTAGGGTGGTGGTAGGCCCTAGATTGTTCGAGGTCGCAGGCCTCAGGCTAAGCCCTCCGGCTGGAGGTGGTGAGAGAGTTAGCCTGCCCTTCGTCTCTTTCCCTGCTCACTGATCCCACCCCACTCCCACTGATTGCTGCTTTTGGGTTTTGGAGCGGGTCTTGCAGTAAGTGCGGGAGCGCTTTGTCACTATCCCTAAGTAAGGTGCTGGGAGAAAGATCGCAACCCGGTGCACCCTGCCTGCCCCACCCACTCTGCTGTCTGTACTTAAGATACACTTTTTCTTCTAGTTCCTCCTTTCGCCGCCCCCCACTATTACTCCGTGTTCCCACTGGTTTACTGAGAGGTGAGATAGTGCAGGGTGAAATAGACTTTCCTTCCTTAACGTAATCGCTGTAAGCTCTCAGTTTCCCTGACTTCAGGACTTGTGGCCTAGTGGGCTTAGACCAAGAGCACGTGGCTACCCTTAAACTGTTTACTTTGGTGAGAGGTTATAATGCACTATTACAAATGTTGACTGCTTTTGATTTTAGGTTAACTTTCAGTTAATTTCTATCTCAAAGATTATATATATATATACACATATACATATATATATTTTAAGATTTATCTTTAGAGGGGAGGGAGTGAAACATCAGAAACATCAATGTATGGTTGCCTCTAGTGAGTCCCCTGCAGGGAACTGGCCTGCAGGGAACTGGCCTGCAACCCAGGCATGTGCCCTGACTGGGAACGGAACCGCAATCCTCTGGTTCGCAGACCAGCATTCAATCCACTGAGCTGTACCAGCCAGGGCAGAGATTATATATCTTTAAATGCACTCTGGAGGCCTAATAATTTCTTTCCTTCCTTCCTTCCTTCCTTCCTCCCTCCCTCCCTCCCTTCCTCCCTTCCTTCCTTTTTTTTTTTTTTTGCATTGTCAGAATTAATAACCTATCTATGAATCAGCTAAACAGGTCCTAGGTAGCTAAATAAATTCAGATGTCTTGTGTTGTCACAAAAAATTATTCAAGTTGTCATCTTTGCACTTAGACATAAAAGCTCTAAGTGAAGGAGATAACACAAGCGTTCTCAGGTTTAAGGTCTGGAGCAGGTGATACAGCTGCTACCTTGTTGGGAAACTGGGTATCTTTTGAGAGTCCCTCTAGCCTTAGAGTCTAGCCTCACTTTCTTTGCAGGCAAAGATTTCCTGCTAAGTGGTAGCACTTTATTACTGTATGTTCTTTAATAAGAGGGCTAAAAATGTTTGAAACCGAAGAACATCAAGGCAGCTGGCACCTGTTAATTGCCTTACTAACTTGACCAGTCTCAGGAATGAGTTGTGTTATGAGTTGGAAAACTTATGTAGTGAATTTATTATATTAGATGTATAGATATATTTTCTGCTTTCATTTTCAGACCATTGGGGAAAAGTCCAATACGCTTAAAAAAAAAAAAGGTATGCTTCTCTGTACATTTTTGGTTGTTATGGGAGGAGTGTTTTGACAACTGTCTATCTGTTTTGAGTTTTGCTTAGTTCTGCTTGTTACGCTGAAATTTTACCTCAGTTCTTTTACTGACTTTGCCTGGTTCTATACTACTTTGTGGACACTTTAAGCTAAGTGGTATTAACCCCATTTTTACTTTTCTCTATCTCTTTGAGGTGGATTTTTCATAGAAATGACTGCTCTTTTTCCTTTTTTTGGCTAAGTGTCCAAGATCAAAAAAAGTTATAGTTTGATGAAACTAATGAATGAGTAATAGAGAAATGATTATAAGTTGTCATGTCCTCTAGGAATCTTTTTCTTTAACTGCCTCTTTTCTGAAAAAAAATTACTGTTTCTTATACCTTTATTAATAACTGGACAAAGGAACTACTTATGTATGCCTTTGAGCTCTCTTCTGAATGACCACATTTTGGCTCCATATCTTCCATCAGTTACCTAAACTTGGCAATAAGATGTTTTTGTAAATTAATGTCCTACTTCAGTCGTTACCTGTCTTGGCTTCAGTTCTGTCGTAGAAGTAGTTGGTTAAGATTAGAAACCAGGAGACTAAACCAGGACATACTAGAGCCTAGAGTGAGAACAGAAACCAAGAGCCGTAGGAGTCCTATCCCTATGTCTTTTCTGCTTACAGATTGATTGAAAAATTGTTAGCTGGTAGTGCAGTATTCCTAAAAATCTGTGCTCATGCATCATTGCTCTTACCAGAAAGAGCTGTTAATGTGTCTTTCCATGCATTGCACCTTACCAATGGAGGTAAATATAAACAGTCCTTTCTTCCTGGGAGTGTGAAATATAAATTGACCACCATGACTTGAATGAGCAAACATATTCATCTACATGGTAGGAACAGGATGGAAATCCAGAGTAAGTATGCAAGAATATCTCGGTTAGTGAATAAGAAAGAGTTCAGTACCTGTCATTGAAAGAGAAGACAATTTTGGATCTACTTCGGATTTGCTCTTAGTGTTTGCTTCCTTTTTTGAAAAAATATTTGAAGTTAATAAGTTAATAAATAAATATGGACTTCCTTTTTTGAATAAATATTTGAAGTTAACTGTAATAAATATGGTGACTTTTTGATTTGTCAGTAATTACTGAGATTAATTAGTATTTCAGTGTAATTTTTCTGAAATGTAAATATATCACTTAAAAATATTGATAGTTTTGTGACAGTGGTTTTTCAGCCTTGTTTTACTTAGCTCCTATAAAAAAAAATTTGTAGTCACATGTATACAGTATTGGAAAAGTTTTTTTTTGTGAGGTTTATTTATTTATTTTTAGACAGGGGAAGGGAGGGAGAACTAGAGGGAGAGAAACTGGACGTGAGTGAGAAACACTATTGTTGCCTTTCAACAAGCCCGCAACTGGGGACCTGCCCTGCAACCTAAGCATGTATCCTGACCAGGAATTGAATTAGCGTTTGTGGGACAATGCCCAATCCACTGAGCCACATTTGTCAGGGTAGAAAAGTATTTTTCTTATTAAGTTGTATTTAACACACAATATTATACTAGTTTCAGGGAGAAATACTTTAATGGCCTTTTCAGATAATTCTTTGACATCACTCCAAAACTTGACAAGTAGTAGTTTGTTAAAGATTGGTTGTAATGTGGTGTTTGAAACCATGTCAGTGACCTTTTCATACTCTAGTACAGTAAAATCTTAAGTTTGTCTTATACTCTGAATGGATTTTTTACCCATACATGATTCTGTGACATCATGCATTGACTGGCTGGAAAATACTGGTTCTTTTGAGTTATGCGTATCTTCTAAATATTGCTACTCTTCATTATAAAATACTTTTTAAAATCTCATTTGTTAATATCACCACTGATCTCATCAGAGACATCTTTTAAGTACTGGGAAGCTATTGTCTAGTGGTAGCAGATACAAGTTATCCAAAATTGTACTTTTGGCTTTAGAACTCAAGTTTTGTCATTGACAACAAATAATGTCAGTTTTTCTTGAAGCGAGTGAACGAACCCATTCGTTTGGAGAAAATGTTTACCAAATACACAAGTCTGAGTAATCACAGTTCTTTAAATAAAAATTATATTTCATGATAAAAGCAGCTAGTTCAACTTGCAATTCAGTCGCACAGATGCCTTTTCTCAAGATAACCATCATTCCTGAGTATGTAGAAGCACTTATGTGTATTTCCTATTTTATCACAGAATATTAAAAGATGTGTGCTCAATGGTTGAAATTCAATAAAATTAATGATTTTTGCTGCTTCATCAAGCACATTCTTAAATGAACAAGTGAACTGCCTCCCACCCCCCGTTTTTTTAGACTATTGCTATGAAGAATACAGTTAGTTATTGCTAGTACAGTTTGGTGCCATTGCCTTAAAACTGCTAAAGCACCAGCAGTTTTGCTTACTACTGCCTTTACATCATCAGTACAAAAGTCAGCACAGTAAAAAGGTAAATCATATTTTAGTATTATAATGAGGATAGTTTTGACCTCTTGGATCCCCTGAAGGGGCCTAGGGATCCTCAGGGATCTACTGACCCCATTTGGAGGACTGCTTTTATACTAGCATGTAAACTTCTTGATGGCAAGGATTTTTGTCTCATTCACTGACCTGTCCCTTGTACCTAGGCCCGCTGTCATCCTGGGGTGTTTTACCTATCTCTACTGTTAAAGTACGTCTTTCAGTCTGGCTTGTCTTTGTTGGTTTGCCGTTTGCTTTTGGTGGAGTGTGAGGTGTAATTTTGAGACTTTGCATATTTGAAAATGTCTTTATTTTGATTTCATATTAGATCAGTGATTGGGCTGGATATAGATTCTAGGTTGAGAAGCATTTTCACTTAGAATTTTGAAGGCAAATCGCCATTGTTTTTCTGTATTGCTGTTTAGAAGTTCAGTGCCTTTTATTGTAATTCCCCCCCCCTTAAAGATTTTATTTATTTATCTTTAGAGGGGAAGGGAAGGAGAGGGAGAGAAATATCAATGTATGGTTGCCTCTCACGTGTCCTTTGCTAGGAACTGGCCTGCAACCCAGGCATGTGCCCTGACTTGGAATCGAACCACAATGGTGTGGTTCATAGGCCCGCACTCAATCCACTGAGCTACACCAGTCAGGCCCCCATTTTTTCTCTTTAGAAGCTTTTGGGGTCTTCTGTATATTCCTGGTGTCTGAATTTCTATGTGATATATCTAGTGTATGTCTTTTTAAATTCTTTGCCCCAGGAATTTTACGTCCTATTTTTAATCTTTTTCTTACCATTTACTTTTTGTGAGTCATTTGAATTTACCATCTGATCCTATTTTTTTTTCTTTTTACAAATCACCATTTATTAAAATTTCAAGCTTTTTCTCCTGTTGTATGGACGTTCCTCCTATTGTTGTTTGCTGGATCATCTACTTAATATGTTTTTGAGGAAAAAACAGATATTTTTCCTTGAAGTTTTCTTCTGCACGTTCCTGATTTACTATGAGTTGTTTTTTTTTCTTTCTGTTTTGGTTTCTGTCTCTTATGATGAAGGTTTTTGTTGTACGATTTGTTATCCTTTTTTGTATAATCACTGAAAAGTTAAGAGAAAAATAGTTTACAAAAAAAAGTTTAAGGTTTGGGCTTATTAACTGGTGGGGTAGTTAATAGGGTGATTGGGTAAGAGCCTGGCTGTTTTTTTGCAGGGGTACCTTGAAATATTTGTAGTATATCTTTCGGGTATGGTTCATTGTTTCCCTAGGTGAATCCTCTGCCAGAAATCTTGGATCCAAGCACACGGAGGGCTACAGTATTTACCATTAGCTATAGATTTTCAAGTAATTCCTCTAACTTTTTAAAATTTAGCATCTGTCTGTCCTCTTTTACCTTGCACCGGGACCTGGCGCTTTATTGTTCTGTCATTTTCCCCAAGTTCATCACCTCTCCTAGGTTTGGGGATGAGTAGTCACTGGTCTGGTTTGAATGGGGAAGGGGGCCTGTGAGGTTACTCCCTTTATATAGACTTTTAATCAGTTCCCTTGTTCTTTAGTTCCATACCTCATTGTACCCACTGCGGTAACTAACGTGTCTTAAATTTCTGGTCCTTTCTGATTTTTGCTATGTAAATTGGCTTTTGTCATGTTGGAATTCTCTGCAGTTGCTTGATGTTCAGCTCTTTTAGCTCAAATTCTCCATCTGTTTTTCATTTGCTAAAAATTGGTTGATGAATCTTATCTTCTGTTGTCTCTATATCCTTGTGAATTTATACTGTTTTTATCTTTATATTCTCATTTTAGTATTTTAACAAGATAATGAGGACGTAAAAGCTCATGTTAAATGGTTATGTGTGGGTAAAGAAAAATTTTAACTGCTTAAAAGTGAAAACAACAATGGAAGAAAAATCCAGGAAATAAGAACACTTGGATGACCATTATCACTCAATTATGTACAAATTCCATAGTGGAAATAAACACATACACACTCACACTACCACGGTTATTTATAATGGATATATGGATACCCATGTGAGTATTATATATACATGTTTAAATGTATGTATATATGTACATGTATACTAAGTAAAGCTATAATTTCATAATCATAGCATTTTGAAGCTGGAAAGGATCATGGTGATCTTTTATTCAGCGCAGTTTCATTTTCCAATGAGGAAACTGGCTTAGATATGCTAGCGATTTGCTGAAAGTTTCAAGATTAACCCTTCCCAGTGTTTTGTTGAACTGTGAAATGGTAGGAATGTGAACATCTCGGAGGTTCCGAAGTATATTAAAGTCTAATTCTGGCTCTAGGTAAAGAGCATAAAGTTTTGAATTGAATCCTAACAGCAGTTTTCAATTGGAGTCAGGGAGGAGAAAGTTCACCCGACGGTTCTGAAAACTGCACTATAATTTAACGTACTGCTTTGTTTAAAGTAATGGTATTTAATTTATTTTGAATGAATACTAAAGGAAAGTGAGAGATTTTTCTTATTCTGATCCATTACCCACTGAAATCTTAACACTAATAGGATGGATCTTGCTTTTATATGAAATTGAAAGATAACTAGTAACTGTCAATAAAAAAATAAGATTGCATATGAGAATCTAAAGGCTTACTTTAAAGTAAGATGAGTTTCTTATTAGCTAAATATAAATGGTAAACTTATAATTCCTAAATATAAAAACCTTATGTTTTAGTTCTGTATGTTTTTTCTTTTTGTATACTAAATGTACAGATATTACCATAACCATATAGAAAATAGTCAAAAATTTCCTAGTTTCATCACTTAAATATTATCAGTTTTGCCAACTTCAGAGCTTCAGAGCTTTTTGCCTTTATTCATATGTACATATTTTTAAATTGTCTCTATAGATATAGTTTTAATAATGGTATAATGGATGTCTTTGTGATTGTCTTTTTTTTTAAGAAAAACTTTTCAAATACATTCTTAGAAGTAGAATTGCTCTATCAAAAAAGCATCAACATTTTTATGATAATTTATGTAAATTGTTAATTGCTTTCTGGAAGGATTATACCACCACTTTATGTAGACACTAGCAGTATGAAGAGTTGACTGACTTCACTATAACCTCATCAACTTTGGTACTTAACATTTCCTCTCCCAAATTTTATAAGTTAAATGATGATGGTATATTATTTCATTTTTTACTTAGTTGATGACTAATGACTTCTTATGCACTTAAACATTTAGAATTTTCAGTTAGAAAAATGTAAGTCTAAACGATAGTGAAATATGTTTTATCTTAAGGGAATATTTAAATGATTAGGTAGTTCATATCAAAACAATATTATATAATTAATGATTGATACAACTTAAAATGTAAGAATTATTACAATGAGCTGTCCTCATTGATTCCTTTGAAAGACATTTGAAAAAATTTAGGACAAATTTAAGTTGTTCATAAATTATAAAAACAATTGATATCTTAGAAGACTGTAATAGGGCTATTTTAAATACCTCCATGAAGAAGCCAGGTACATTTAAAATTCTACTTTAAGACTTAAAAAATTTTTATAAAATTTAAAAAATTACTGTATTAAATTTCATCTATGGTGCCATATGTTAGTAATAAATTTTCTTTGAATTTAAACTTGTAGAAATGGGACGTCGTTCATCAGATACCGAAGAAGAAAGCAGAAGCAAGAGAAAAAAGAAACACCGTAGACGGTCATCTTCAAGTAGTTCTTCAGATAGTAGGACATACAGCCGAAGGAAAGGTGGGAGGAAATCAAGGTCAAAGTCAAGATCTTGGTCCAGAGATCTTCAGCCTCGCTCACATTCTTATGATAGAAGGTGCCTTTCATAATTTTTACGTATATAGTAATGAGATAACATTCTCTAGTTGAGAGTTCTTAAATTTTTGTACTTTTAATTTTTCTGGGTAAAATCTTTTTGTTTTAGTAGTTAAATATTTATGAGGGTCAAGACCCAACCTAGAGGTGCTTTTCTTTTTCCCAGGCCGAGCCCATGAGTTCAGTGTTTCCCTCCTTTGTCTATTCTTTGTAGACAAGTAGTATACTAGTGTATAGTTCTGCTAGTAGTTTTACTAGGATATAGTTCTACTTGTTCTGTAGTTCTTTATATTGTCTACTAGTACAGTACTTATATTCTACAATATTATCTGATAATATTTGGAAGGATTGTATACTATTTAACACCCCTAATATCTTAATTTGTACCTGATTCAATCACTAAATTATGAAATCAATCGTCTCATTGTTCAAGAGGAGTAACATTTTGTCTCTCTTTGCTTTTAGGAAGGTGTAAGACAGTAAAAATGAGGCATTTTTTTTAGAATCTGGATGATTTGTCCTTAATGCTCATACACTTTTTAAAAATAGCAATGATATCTGATTATATCTTATTTCAGACGCAGGCATCGATCAAGCAGTAGCTCCTCTTATGGCTCTAGAAGAAAACGAAGTCGAAGTCGTTCAAGGGGTCGAGGGAAATCCTATAGAGTTCAGAGATCTAGGTCAAAAAGCAGAACGAGAAGGTATGCCGTACCAGATATTTATTGCTTTGTAAACACACAGTTCCCACATTTAGTAACCTAAAGCAGTAGTCACTTATTTTCTCGTGATTTTATAATTTTGACTGGGCTCAGCTGGCAGCTCTTTTGCTGTTCTCATTTGGGTCCCTTCTGTAGTTACCTGACAGCTTGACTGAAACTGAACGGTCCACTGTGGCCCCATTCTGGCCTTCGGTGCTGGCTGTTGGCTCTTGTCTGGGGTGCTTAGTCTTTCTGTGCTTTCTCATCCTCCAGTAGGCCAGGCTGGGCTTTTTCACATGATGGAGGAAGTATTTCAAGAGGTACGAGCAAGGGCAAATATGCAAGATCTCTTACGGTCTAGCCTCAGAAGTAATCCTGTGTGATATGGAGTAAATGTTTGTGTTCCTCCCTAAATTTGTACATTGAAGCTCCAACATAACTATATTTGGAGAAAGGGTCTTTTGGGGGATAATTAGGGTTAAATGAGGTCATAGTGTAGGGCCCGAATCCAGTGGTGCTGGTGGCTTTATAAGAAGAGGAATGGAGAGAGACATCTGTTTTATTGTTGTGCTCAGGGGCCAGTAATAGAGAAAATAGCCTGACTGGAAAGAGTTGTATATTTTGGCAGTAGTTGAAAAAATGGTTGAATAGGATGGGGACTATGGATATTGAGGGACTTGATAAAAGTATGCATTCAGAAGTTATTGGAAGCTTTTGAGCAGAAGAGCATTAGGGTAAAACAGGAATTCAGTAAGGTCAGCTTCTTTTCTCTGCTTAGATCTTGTATTATTAGGTTCTAGTCCTGGGAGTATATTAGCAGTCTGATTTTGTTATCTAGGCATAAACGTTTATAAATTTCTGTATGAATCTGAAGTTGGGTAATAGTAATACAGTCCAGATGTTTAGCCTTTCTGACCTTCTATTGTTTAGACTCAGTGTTCTCTCCTTGGTACACACTCCAGGAATAAAGCCGCTCTGTATTACCTGCCTTTGTTCTCTATACATATTCCTGAGTTGCTAGCTTTGTTTTGTTGAGCTTTCCTTCAGTTACTTGCAACCTTTCAATTCTCTTCTTTCTTAAATCCTTTTGATTTTTACTTTTTCCCTCTTTAATTTTCTTCTTCATTAAATCCTTATTTGATTTTTACTTTTTCACTCCCAAGTCTAATTTAATCCCTCCTTTCTTTTACCTACCATCATCACATGGTGGCGCCTAATATGTAACAGTTATATTATGAATATTATGGCTTTGTTATGCTCATCTATTATAAACCTTTACCTGGGGAATCTCTTGGTACCTAGTGTAATTAATGCCTGGCTTAGTAAACATGCCATGATTGATTGGATCATTAATTGGAGGATGAAGTTAGGTAGAGAGCTGGTTTTTGTAGTAAGGAAAAGTTTTATTGATTTGTAGAAGGAAAGCTTTATTTTGGATGTATTGATTTGTCTAAAAGGAGACTGATTACCAGAAAACAACTTCAATTGAAATTTCCTGCCAGTGGGAATAGAAATAATAATCCATGCTTTTGTGTGTGTTTTCCAGTTTATAGAGTATTTTCACATACCCAGAATCAGTTACCAGTAACAAGAATTTGATTAGGAAAACAGAAGCCAGTGAATTCCAAACAACAGGATTTTAACACAGGGAATTAAAGGCTCATATAATTTTTGGAAGGGTTCAGGGAATTAGGGAAGCTGTCACTGATTATTTCAGCCTGAAGCATTGAAATTGGTTAATTTCTCAGAATTCACTGGAACTCTTAAGAACTCTCTAGGTTTGTTGCAACAGAATGGGTGGTTATGAAGAAACTACCCACCTGGAAGCTGCTTCATCTGCCCAACTATGTACCTACAACAGCCTCCAGAGGGAAATCTGGAAATGTTAATTTCTTTTCTTTTGCAGTACAAGGGAGACCTTAAAAGTAATGGCTGTAATGTGTAGTCAGCAACAGACTATCCAGTATGGTGTTCAGTAATCTGCGCTTTCTAACTATGTTAGACTGTCATGCAGGGTAATAACTTTATTTTGTATTTGAGGAAACAACTTCAGAGCTTATTCAAAACAGCAACTTCTCAGCCTCTTGCAGGGCCACTTCTGCATTTAACTACAATAACTGAATAATCTGGAAACACTGGAAAGTCCTAAATTTTTGGAAAATAAATTATCCACATCCTATATCCTAAGCACGACATTATTTTGGAAAATATATTTTAGGAATTTATTTATCAAAATGTTTAAACTGAGTTTCTAAATCTTGATGTAACAAGAAAATGGAACAACTCATTCTTTGAACAGTTTAGTTAATCCAGGCTTTACTTTAAATAGAGAACATGAAAATAATGAATTGTCCATAGAAAAAGTACTATATGACTTTAAATCTGAAAGTGTGTTGTTAATTATTTCTGTGCTTATTAGTAGAAACAAATGATTCCAGTCATGGAAAGTCAGAGAAAACTTGGTTTTTACAGGTGTTAAAAATAAATGAAAGATGAGGCATGTTCTGGGGGTGGCAGGAGGAGGGGAGTCAAGTGTGTGAAGTTCGATGGAGTTACCATGGGTAAATTAGAGGAATAGGAGATTATGCTGTTTAATATATCAGTTTTTATGATCGACTCACATCGTGACGTGTATCATGTCGCTTTTGCAACAGTGAGAAAACTCCTATTATGTACGGTGTGTTTACTTATTTCCTCAATTGTAGAATACACAGAAGATAGTTTCAGAATTGCTGATATATACCTCTGTGAAAAACAAACTTATAAACTAGAGTTTAATATTTTATAGTTATTTTTATCTTTACTCTGGGGTATGTAGTTCTCCTCCCCACTTCATTATAATTGGTTTTTTTTTTTTGAAGAGGTAGTTTATTTGTTTCTGTTTATGTTTCATTGTAAGTTTTTTTATTCCCCCAAAGTTTGAAAATTTTAGTTACTTATTTGTTATTGCAAAAGACAGCACTACACTGAAAGGTGTACATGGAAGTATCACCCCCCCCTTCTGTCTTGTTCCTAACCACTCCCTAGGTCACCAGCCCTATTGTTTTGGTGGCTTAGCTTTCCTTTGTTTCTTTGTAAACAAAGCAGTAGTTATATCGATGGCATACTGTAGATACTCTTGCACTTTGCTTTTTTGTTTTTGTTTACTAACCTATCTTGAAAATCACTCTTTATTAATTAATAGTAATTTTACTCATTTTTTATGGTTGCTTAGTACTTCATTGTGTGAGGTATCATAATTTTTTAGCCCATTTCCTAGGTATGAGCATTAATAATACCACCAATATTTTGCAGTTACTAGAAGCTGCTGTTACTAACCTTGTGCATGAGTATTTTTATATGGTTGTACATTCATGGTAAACTTCTCAAAGTAGGATTGCTGGATCAAAAGGTAAATATTCGGCCCTGGCCTAGTGGCTCAGTTAGTTAGAGCGTTGTTTCTATAAGCCAAGGTTGTCGTTCAGTCTCCTGTAAGGGCACATACAAGAAGCAACCAGCTTGCCCCAGCCAGGTGGCTTGGTTGGAGCAGCATCCCTTAAACTGAAAGGTTATGGGTCCAATCCCTTGTCATGGAATGTGTCTGGAAGGCAGCTGATGGGTGATGTTACTCTTGTATTGCTGTGTCTCTGCCTCTCTCTCTCTCTCTCCCCCTCCCTCTTCTCTCCCTACTTTCCCCTCCCTCTCTAAAATCAATAAAAACATGTCCTCAGGTGAGGATTAAAAAAAAAAGAAGTAACCAGTAGAATGTGTTGTTACTTTTAAATGTTTGCCAGTATCACAGGTGAGAAATTGTACTTTTGTGTAGTTTTAGTTTTTCTTTTTCTTATAAGTGAGGTTGACCATCTTTTTGTACGTTTGAGGGCCATTATTCTTTTTTACATGTGAACCTTTTCTTCATGTCTTTTGGCTTTTCCATCTTTTTTTCTTCAAGTTTTAAGAGGTACTAGATATATTACTCCTTTAGCTGTGATACATATACATATAGCAAATATTTTCTTTTAGTTTTTCAGTTGTCTTCTGACTTTGTTGTGTTGGCTATACAAAAGAGTTTTTTGTTTTATGTGGTCATATTTATCATTCTTCTTTCGTCACATTTTCCTTATAATCAGAATGTAGAGAAATAGTTTTCTTATATCCAGGAGATACAGAGGAATACACTGATGTGTTTTCTGTATACCTGATTGTTTGATTTTTTTACAGTGGCATCTTTTATATATTTGGATTTATTCTTTTTTTAAAAATTTTTTGGAATGACATTGGTTAATAAAATTATGTAGGTTTCAGGAGTACAATTCTATAATTTATCATCTGTATGTTGTGTAGTATGTTCACCACCCTAAGTCAAATTTCCCTCTATCACCATTGGGCCTCCTTTTACCATCTAGATTTCTTCTTGGCTGTGATATGAGTTGTGGACCTCCCCCCTCTCCCATTTGGCTATTATATCACCATTTATTAAAAAGTTCATCTTTATCCCAGTTGTGATGCTCCTTTTATTGTATAATATACTAAATTTCATTAGTACTTGGGTCTTTTTCTTGACTTTATATACATTCCACTGCTCTGCTTGTCTGTGCACTAGTGTCACACTTAGAGGAACTTTACAGTATATTTTAATGTTGTATAGACCTAGTTCGCCCTTTCACTTTTAGCTTTTCTTTTTCAATATTTTCCTGTGAACTGTTTATTTTTTCATGTAGACTTTGGTATTAACTTATTTAGATTCAGTTAAAAAACTTGTTGGTGTTGTTATTAAGATTGTATTAAACTTAAAAGCTAAGGAGGACTGACATCTTTATCATGTTGATTTGTTCTAAAAGTAAAGGGATGGTTTTCCATCTGTCCTCGTTTTTTAATGTTCAGGAATGTTTTGAAGTTTTCCACATATATATAAATTTTACTCATTTCCCGGTAACTTTATTCCCAAGTATTTTAACTTTTTTATTGCTATTATAAATGAGGTCTTCTCTATCACTATAATATCTAGTTATTGTTTCTATATG